GGTGGGTTCCGAGAGAGGGGAGTTTCTGAACGTTGTTCTGGGTGATGGGACAGTGCCCGGTGCTGATCAAGGCTGAGGGGGCGTGTGGAAACGTGTGGCTGAAGAGGAGAGAAGGGTCAAAGGGCCCTGGAGCTGAGGAACTCCTGAGACTCTAGGGATCTCTGACATCCTCCAGGAGCTGGGACTGGAGGTGGGAGGAGTGATGGAGGCACCGGAGTCCCCAGGGAAGGAGGAAGTAGCCGGGATTGCGTTTGTGAATAGGAAGATCATGCCGTGAGACTGTGTGATGCCAAGGTTCTCAAAGTGGGTGGGGCAGGGGGGTACCGTCATTGTGTTGGGGACAGAGGAAGGCAGGTTTTCCATCAGGTGGCCCTAAATGATTGCCTGCTCAGCAAAATAAAGGCCCAGTGTGGAAGCCAGAACTTGCATTTGAAGGATGGGAAGGATGGGAAGGATGGGCTGAGGAGGGCCCATCAGCAGCAGCCGGAGAGGGAGGCGGCCATGGAGACTTGGAGCGTTCCCGTTTCTTCCAGAGCTCCGTCCCGAGAGCGCTGCGGAATAAGGGAGGAGCGTCCTGCTTCCCGGCTGCCCTGTTGCTGTCGGAGTCACAGGATGGCGGCCGTCGTCCTGCCCCCGACTGCTGGTGAGTCGTGGGGTCCTGGCATTTCTCAGAGTCCAGGCTTGAAAGGCTCTGACCCACAGCATGGGACGGGAGGGGGTTGGGCAGAGCAGGTGAGGCAGGAGTGGAGCCCCAGGGCCCAGAGGTCCTCGGTGTCTGATCGGGCGGCTCTTGGGATTTGGGACTTAGGCGTTTGGATGTCTATGGATGTCGCCTCTGTGGTGAATGTGCTGGAATTTTGAATTCTCCCTTTAGTTCTTTCTGTGAACCTGATAAAAACACAGTGACACCCTTGGAACTTCGGTTTCCTCATCTGTGAAGTGGGAATAATCCCTTCCCCAAGTGCAGTCAGACCTTGAGCCCTGTTTTTGGTTGGTGAGACAGAGCTGTGTTCGGGTATCTTAGGAGAGCTGTGGGTAGGTGTTTGCGTGGAGTGTGGGTCGGCGCTGTGTGGGTGCCTCATCCACATGGGTGTGGGAGGTGAATATGGTCGATCATGGGCAGATCTGTGGGCGTTAGACAAACCTGAATCCCTGGGACTCGTTTCTCCTCCTCCAGCTCCATCTTCCCCGTTCCCAGCCTCTCAGCAAAAAGGACACACAGAGAGCGGAGAGCTGGTTGATGAGCTCCTGACAAGCTGGCTACGGGTGAGTAGGATGCTCCTTTTCCCAAGTCATTACTCCTTTGACTAGAAGGTTAGACTTGGTACCTTCCAGCAGCCTGGAGCCTCATGGCCAAACCAGGTCCTCAGGCGTCCCAGGATTTCCAGGCATCTGATGGAGGGTGAGGGCTGCCCAGAAGATGTCAGTGTGTGTCAACGTTTACTACAGGTTCAGAGCCCCCTCCAGGTTCCCTAAGTACATCATGTGCTCCTGCGAGTTTTAAGGGAAAGCCAAGTAAAGACATGACAATGTTCTAAGCCCAAGCGATGAATGAAGGCCTTATGGAAATCATTCATTCACTTACCAAGTATTTCTCCGATTTCTGCCGTGTCACGGGCCCGTGCTCCCCTGGAGACTGAGGGAAACGAGGTCACAGGAG